CAAAAAACAAATTCAATTTTTTTCACTAAATTTTCTACTTGTATGTATCAAAGTAAAAATAAAAAAAGAAGTGGTGTTAGTCTCATTTCTGGCGAACTCTTGAGAAACATTATAATATAAATATAAATATTATAATATATAATAATATATATCTTGAGAAACAAGTTTTGAAAATTCGCAAATGTTGACTATACAAAACTAAAAATTTGAAGATAGAGACTTTTGTATTCAATGAAATCTAATCTAAAAAAATAAATAAAGACAGTTAACGGTAAACTGATATCGACCGAGGTAGGATCAGGTGTACACCATATAATTCTGGCTTCAACATAAACAGTTTGGTTGAGCAGTTGTAAAGGATGACTTACAGTATATACCTATAGTGGTTTGCTGACATAGGTTGATGTGCATCAAGTTGGTAACAGCCCTCAGGTGCACCGAAACTCTTAATAGGGTTAAAACCTGGTTCATTTGCGAAAACCCCCCATCACATGCACTGATTGATCAGATCTTAATTTTTATCACAGGACGCAGAGAAGCAGAACATTGCTTTTCTTCTATGAATTTCCGAGTATTATTACTGTCATCTCAGGAACATGTGGAATGTCCACGAAATATCCAGTACTTGCTCCTGAAGAAATGCCATTATCACTCCCGTCCATATATGCATCTGTGTTGACTATGTGTTCCTCAAACTGTGAATCTGCCTAGCCAGACTGTGCTCAAACTAAACCGTTGAGGCGATTTTCTCCAAAACTGATATTCCCGATTGATCTGGACGAATTCTAGCCCCTTTGAGTTTGAAACGGATATGTTAGTCTTGAGGTGCTTTTACATGAATCCTCGACATTTTCAAAATATTCTTGAAAATAACTACAAATTGAAGAGCTCCTGGAAAAAACAGCACGATTCCAAAAATAAAATGTGGAAATGAGGAAACAACGTCCACCTTCCTAACTCAGTAAGATGTAGTTAATTTTATATTATACAGGCATAATTTTGACTAGGAATGATAGATAAAATGCAATTGTGAGTAAATAAAACAATATATTTTGTAAGTTACAAGCTAAACAAAAAGGAAAATGTGTTATATTTGCTTGAAAATTGCAGATTACATAAATATAAGTTTTGCTATTATGCATATGTTTGTACAACAAGGTACCAGAAACTTTCAAAAATAAAATTACAAGTTTTTTTTAACACACTGCATTGTTATTCGTGCACACAATTGAAACAAGTGAACCTCCAACAAACACACAACCAAAGCTTCTTTAATATATTCTAGATTAACTGTAACCTGCAATAATCGCATTTAAAATGCTCGAGGCAGAATATTCTTCACACCCATTTCTGTTATCTTACGTCAACATGAAAATCATTACTGTTACCTGGACGTACATGACAATTTGTTCGTAAAATTCTTTGTTTTCATATTGGCTCAAATATTGCAACTGGTTTTGGAGGTTACAAATCTTGGCAGGTGATATTGGTAAATGTGCACTTTATGCTGGTGTTAGTTCAATTTCCTGTGGAAAATGGAACTCAATTTTCAGTAACCCTATTACTCCATGGACTCGTATATATGTATCTATGAGTTTCACAACTCTGCTAATCTGCTATATCTTGAACATTCTCACTGATTTGATTTTCAGTCGAGGTTAATCAATGTTAACGAAATATGGGGTCAAAGTTGCTTTGAAATCAAATATAATCCATTTGTTAACCTTTAAATGGTGTTCGGTTGTGTATTCGTCTTAATATTTATTTCAGCCCATCATCAGGAGATCTTGCGTACTAAGCTTTCATTTCCGTTCCTCTACAAGACAAAATCTTGGTAATTCGGGAGGTAGCTGTGTTCTTGCATGAGAAATAAGCACGTTAAACTACGAAACATTTTCAAGGCATGCTTGTGCGTGCACTATAAAATAGAAGAAATATGCCATTTCATGATTTTTGTCCAGACACATCATCACTCAACTAATGTTCTAAATCGTAATTTAAATGCTTCAAGTAGTTAAATACCATTGTCATAACATAATTGGTTCCCTTCCCCCCCCCCCCC